CCTTGTTTCTGTTTTCAGGTCTCTTTGGTAGATATTTGGGAACATCAGATATATGGAAACAGCATTAAGCACGCAAAATAAGTAAATAAATACAAGAGGAGTGAAAGAGCCAAACATGGAAACAGAAAGTAAGGATTCACAATAAATAGACACAAAGCAAGGGACAGAAAAATGTTTCGAATTATACTTAGCAATTTTGGACAGATAAGACACAGCATCTGTGAAGCAAGATTAGAATGCTATTAAATTGAACTGCCACCAGAAAGATGAAATAGGACCCAAATCTCACACCATACACTATTATCAACTCAAGGTGAATCAGAGACCTGGGAATAAAGCCCAAAACCATAATGGTTATAAGAAATAAACTAGGATCAAGCTTAGATGACCTAGTCTATGGTATAAAGAGACTGCAAAATATAGCCAGAAATGCACAATCTGTAGAGGATAAAACTGATGAATGGGACCTCCTAAAGATTAAATCCCTCTGCTCATCAAAAACATTTTCCAACAGAGTGAAAAGAAAACCTACTGACTGGGGAAAAAATTGGCAATACCATTTCAGACAAGGATTTCATATCAAAAGTTTATAGAACCCTACAGGACTTCACAAGAAAGAAATTGATAACCCAATTACAAAACGGGCAAAAAGCATGGAAAGACTTTTCACAGAGGAAGATATTCAAATGGTCAACAGACACATGAAGAAATGCTCAAAATCATGGACAATAAGAGAGATGCAAACCAAAACCATAAGGAGATACAATCTCACTCCAGTAGCAGAGTGGCAAAGTTTAACAAGACAGCAAGTAATAAATGTTGGAGAGGATGTGGAGAGATATGAACTCTTATATACTGTTGGTGGGATTGCAAAATGGTACAATTGCTTTGAAAGACAGTTTGGTGTTTCCTCAAAAAGCTGAACCTAGAAATTCCATATGGCCCAGCTATTCCACTGCTTGGAATATACACCGAGAACATTAGAACCAAGGCAGAAAAGGAGATGTGTACATCAATGTTCTTAGCAGCATTATTCACCATAGCAAGAACATGTTAACAGCCCAAATGTCCAACCACAATCAAGTGGATTGAGAATTTATGATACACTCACATGATGGAATACTATGCATCATGAAGGAGCAATGATTTTGTAAATCACTACCTAATTTGAGAGGGACTGGTGAGCATTATGCTAAGTGAACTAACTCAGTCTCAAAAGGATAAATACTGTATAAGACTGTTATTATAAAAATAGAAAGATAACTAGTAAAATGTGTATGAGGATCCAAGAGGTGAAGGGTAGGAGCAGAGGGATGAGGATGGGCAGGAGAATAATCATAGGGTCACAGAATTTGATGAATAGAGGGAGGAGAGGGTAAAGGAAATGGGCAAGATCTGGTGTGAAAAACAGTGTATATGAACTTTTTTTTTTTTGTATATGAACTTTTTAAGTAAACCAGTATAAAATAAAAATTTTATTTAAAAAATAATAGAATGCATTAAAAATAATTAGAAACAAACATTCTTGAAGGTTAGATATGAATTTGAAGACAATTTTCCCCAAATGGAGGGAAAGACAGAACAAGGAGAGAGAAAATGAAAATATACATATACTGTGAGAAATAAATGATACAGTTATAAACAGATGTGGCCACTATATAGTAAATAGTGAGGTATATTGAATGACATAAAAACATATTTAATGAAATACACAAGCGTTCATAGTTTATTTTTGCTCAAGAACATCAAGTTAAAGGCCAGTATGTGCCAGACTATAAATTATGTAAAAAATAAATAGAAATAAAGCTAGAGCTAACCAAAATGTCAGTAGTTGTCCTCTCCAGGTAGTTGAGATATGAGTGAATTGACTTCTTTGTGCACTTTTGTACTTCTCCAAATTGATCAACATACTTTTGTTGCTAGATTAAAATTACATTCTTAAGAGAGGGAGTAAAGAAATCACAGACATGTTGGAGAGGATGTGGCAAGATAGGAACTCTTCTACTTTGTTGGTGGGACTGTAAAATGGTACAACCACTCTAAAAGGTAGTTTGGCACTTCCTCGGAAAACTGAACATAGAAATTTCATATGACTCAGCTATTCACTGAGAAAATGAGAACTGAGGCACAAACTGAGACTTGTACACCAATTTTCATAGCAGCATTATTCACCATATCAAGAACATGGAAGCAGCCCAAATGCATAACCACAATGGAATGGATTGAGAAAGTATGGTACATCCACACAATGGAATACTATGCAGCACACAGAAGCAATGATGTTACTACCTAACATGGGAGGGACTAGAGAGCATTATGTTAAGTGAACTAACTCAGTCTCATAAAGACAAATATTGTATAGGACCACTATTGTAGAGCATGTACGAGGATCCAAGGGGAGGGAGGGAGGCCTTAAATATAGGGTTGCACCATTTGATGGGTGGCGGGAGGGATTGGTAAAGAAAAGGGGAAAGGTCCAATGTGATAAAAACAATGTCTATGAACTTTGTATGTAAAACAGTATAATTTTTTAAAAAATACTATTAATAGGAATTTAGGTTAAATAAATGGACAATATGCAGTACATAGACCCTAATGTAAAGACTAAAATGAATAGTTGGTGTTGGCAGGATGTGACCTTTCCACAATGGGTTGGGCTGTAGGGTAGATGGTAGTGAATGGAAGAGTCTTTGGTAAGGGACCAAAAATTTTTCTAGAGGAATCATAAAACAAGCTTGAGTGAGAAAGAACATAAAGAGATAAAGTGGTTTGTTGCTGTTATTGTTGTGTACTGTTGAGTTGGAACTGACCATCTGGTGTTTTTTCTGAGGCAGTTAATCACACAGGAGGAGAATGCTCATTTTTATCCCACAAAGTAGTAGTAGAGAGAATAGTTCTACCATTTGTCAGTTTGTTGTATTATAATAGCGCAGATACTGGTGTGATGCTTGTAGCTGTGCACGGGGATTTCAAACCCCAGCAGGGTCACCCATAACAGACAGATTTCTGTAGAGCTTCCAGACTAAGACAGATTAGCAAGAAAGTCCTTGCGATCAGCTTCTGAAATGTAACCAGAGAAAATGCCAAAGATCCTAAGAGATCAGGAACTAGTGTAATTTTGGAAGAAAGACACCCTAGGTTGGAAGGTACTTCAAACACACAATGGCTACAAAAGTGGGCTTGGGCATTCCCACGATGGTGCAACTAGCACAGGACCAGGTGATATTTTATTCTGGGTACACATGGGGTTGCTACAAGTCTAACAGCCAGCAGAGAGATATTTGCAACCTGGTAGAGTTACATATTTGTTTGTTTTTCAGGATAGAAAGATATCTGACTATGTAGGCTAAGAAGAAGGAAAAATAGAGAGAGAGAGAGACTAGAAGAAACCTGAAAACAGATGGAAAAGAGCCAGGAGGAGAGGGAAGAAGAAAGAGTTTTGAGTGATGCTGAGAGTCCAGTAGGGATGTGACACCATGATTTTGCTGTGGTCCAAATCTGAACAGATGTGGGTTTCCTTCAGAAGTACCCAGCCACCAAGGCATACAGTCTGAGTTGGTTTTGTGCACCATCGAGTCGGAACTGACCCAGAGCTGGCTCTGTGGCGGGTTTTCAGAGGCAGTTAATCACTCGGGAGGAGATGCCCAACTTTCTCCCTCAGAACAGCTGGTGGATTTGAACTGTGTGCCTGTGGTATTATAGCACAGCATCTGCTTGGTAGGGGTGCATGGGATTTCAAATGCCAGTGAGAACTTTATTCAAGGTATAAGCATGAGGCTCCAAGGTCAAGGTGATTGTTGTTATTTGAGGTCGAGTTGCCTGTGACTCATAGCGACCCTATGTACAACAGCCCTAACCCCTGCTCTATCCCTTGCCAATTTTATTGTCTCTGATACACCTACCCCAATTACCTCAATCACTGAATCAATCCATCTCATCTAGGGTCTTCCTCTCTTCTCCCTCCACCCTCCCAAGCATGACATCCCTTTCCAAGGACTGATCCCATCTTGCAACATGTCCAAAGTATGTCAGATGACACTTCAGAATCCTTGCCTCCAAGGAGCAGCGTGATTTAACCCTCTCCAGGATGAACTTGTTTGTTCTCCCAGCAGTCCACGGTATATTTGATATTCTTCTCCAGCACCACAGCTCAAAGGCATCAATTCTCTTTCCATCAGCCCTAGTAATTTTCCAGCTTTCTGATGCATAGCAAGTAATTGCAAAGACCATGGCCTGTGTCAGGCACACTTAAGTCTCCAGACTGACATTATTGCTCTTTAGCACTTTGGAGAGGTCTCTGACAGCAGACTTTCTCAATTAAATTTGTCTTTTAATTTCCTTGCTGTTGGTACCAAGAGTGTTGATTGTGGAGCCAAACAAACGAAAGCTGTTAACAGACTTAATCTCTTCACCATCTATCATGATGTTGCCAATAGGCCCAGTGGTGAGAACCAAGGCGATTAAGGAGGTGAAATCTAGAAACTGTCAGATTAAAAAATGGATGGATCTTCTGTAGGCAAGTAGTATGAAGAGTGAAGGGCAAAGGGCATGGTGAAGGACAATGAGGTTGAAAGAGCTGGTTGGATAGGGCCGAAAAGCTTTTGTTTAAGAGTCTGAATGTTGTATGGTGCGGGGGAATAAATGACATGACAGGATGGACATGCATTTTGTTGTCATCTGGTTATGTCTTAGGATGCTACCTTAGGACTTAGGCCAGTAGGTGGAGGGCAAGGCTCTTTCTAACTCAGAGTGGCTTACTCATGCTAGTTTAATATGTCAAACAGACTGATTGGAAAGGAGACTCTTTATGGGGAAAAACCCCTCAATTATGAATCATTAAGGGTTTTTAGGGGCATCTATTTCCATTGCAAAGATTCAGAAGTCATTCATTTTCCCTTTTCTGAGCCTTCTCCCGGTGTGTGTTTCTAGCAGCCTACCCCTGTTTACACACTGCCAGTTCCCATCTGACTGCCCCCTTTTCCAGTCTACTCAGGACTCACCGAGAAAGACCTTCCTGCTAAGTTGGACGATTTGACAACCTCTGTCACGCTGACGTTCAGGCATGTGTGGTCTGTAGCAGCAGGAGCAGCAGAGTGAGGGAAGTGGGTGGGCCCTGAAATTAGACAGACAAGATAAGGTTTGAACGGATCTCTAGGGAAGCAGAGAAGTGAGGGTTTCTAGGTTCCAAGAAGACCTTCAGGAAGAGATTGTGATACCCTCACCCCATCTCAATGCCCCTTCTACACTCTGCTCAGCCCCTCTTTCTGATTCTGCCTTGGTCCCAGTCAATGTGGATGATCTGGTTCCTCCAAGATCATCTCTCTTCCCTGGCTGTCACCAAGCTAAATGCCTACCTACCCCCATTCCTTCACCTCCTTTTGCTCGGTTGAACTTCCCCACAGCTCTTGGACACATTAAGAATGTAAAGAACATGCCAGGACTTACATCAAGGGGATGTGAGATGGTATTAGTCCCCACAAGTCGAGAGCGTTTCCCTGACTTTTGAATGATGTATATTGTCTCAAAGGTATGACGTTGTGCTGGCCCCCAGGCTAAAGAGGGACTTCCCTGCCTCACCTGTGAGGAAGGATATAGCAGCACCATGCTTGTTGTGAAAGATTATTGGAAAGAAAAACTCGGAGCAGGCATTTGACTTAAAGTCAGGTGGTAAGGGTGAAAGTTTTGTGAAGGAACTGTTGGTGTTGTTATGTACTGTCAAGTCACGTGTGACCCATAGCCACCCTATGTACAACAGCCCTAAACCTCACTCTGTCCCTTTTCAATCCTATTGTCTCCGACATGCCCATCCCCATTACCCCAGTGACTGAATCAATCCATCTCATCAAGGTTCTTCCTCTCCGGTGCTGTCCCTCCACCCTCCCAAGCATCGTATCCCTCTCCAAGGACTGGTCCCTCCTTGCAACATGTCCCAAGTATGTCAGACGAAGCTTCAGAATCCTTGACTCCAAGGAGCAGCCTGGCTTCACCCTCTCCAGGAAGAACTTGTTTGTTCTCCTAGCAGTCAATGGTATACTCAATATTCTTCTCCAGCATCACAAAGTAAAAGCTAATATTTATAGTTTATTATATATACACATAATACCTCATGTTGTTGTTGTTGTTATGTGCCGTCGAGTCACCTGCAACTCATAGCGACCCTATGTACAACAGCCCTAAACTCTGCTCTGTCCTGTGCCAATCGCACTGTCTCTGACACTCCCATCCCAATTATCCCAGTCACTGAATCAATCCACCTCATAGAGGGCCTTCCTCTCCTGCGCCGTCCTTCCACCCTCCCAAGCATGATGTCCCTCTCTAAGGACCGGTCTCTCCTCACAACATGTCCAAAGTAAGTTAGACGGAGCCTCAGAATCCTTGCCTCCAAGGAGCCACCCGGTTTAACCCTCTCCAGGACAAAAAAATAGTAGCTTTTAATATCTCCATTTTAGAAATTAGGAAATCGAAGAGTCACAATTAACTTGCCTACCATCACGTAGACAGACAGTTTCGCAAAGCTGGGACTTTCCCCCAGCCCACCTGGCTCTGGAATCAGCTCTCTTGACCCACTGATCTATAACCATCTCTGGGTTAAGAGTTATTCCCAAGACTAGAAGTTTCCTTTGTGACATTAAATATTTATCAGTTAAAATTGTCCTGGCTGTTATGGAGTTTCACACCATCCACAGACTCATCTTACCTGCTCAGGAATTGATAAAATCGGTAGCTGTCTTTTTAGTTTACCCTTTATGCCAAATATAAGATCATTTAGCAGCTGTGATGTCCAAAGAAGGACACACGTGCACTGTAGACAGAGAGGTGTCATCACGGGACTAATAAAGACCCCAAGAATTTCAGAGACAGAAGTCATTATTCTAGTTGGATGAGAGAGGGTGGAGCAGAGATGGCTTCCTCCCAGACATGCCAGCGTGGGTAATGTATTTCCATTTTTCATTTCTTCTAGGATATTCCAAAAGCATCCAGTTTTAGAAACATGTTCTTAGGAGGTGGAGTGTAAAATAGCACTTCTTTTATTCAACAAGTGTTTCTTGAACTCACCATTTCTTGGAAGGACAGAGTGGTGGACAAACAAGGTGCCTCCTGCTAGACTTGTATAAGCATCTATGAGCCGCATCCCTCTAGATTCATTTATTGGGATCTGGACTCACAGTGGGGCCATGGGACATAGTAATAACAATATGGACTCTTGTGTGAATCAGCATAGGTTTGAATCCCAGCTCTGACTCTTCTTTACGTTGTGATCTTAGAGGGTAAATTACTCTGTCATATTTTCCAATAGAAAGTTCCTGAGATGAATAATACTTATCTGCTAGGGATGTTTTTGCTGTTTGGTGCCACTGAATACAATCCATAGTGACCCTGTGAACAACAGATCTGAACCCTGTCCTATTCTCTGCCTTCCTAACACACCAGAGCTGATTGTGGCAGTCACTGTGTTAACCCACCTGGTTGAGGCTCTTCCTCTCCTTCATCAACACTCTGACTTTCTGGGCACCCTCTCCAAGGAATATTAGTTCCTAGTAACATGCCTGAAGTGTGTGAGGCAAAGCTGTATCATCTTTGCCTCCAAGCAGTGCTCTGGATCTACTTTCTTCAAGACATGTTTGTTTGTTCTTTTGGCAGTCCATGGGACATTCAGTGCTCTTCTCCAACACCACAGCTCAAAGACACGGCTAACCCATTAGGATTATTATGCTTAAATGAGTGAACAAATGAGTGGATAGAAAAACTGTGGTACAACCACACAATGGAATATTGTGCAACACTGAAAAACAATGAACTTTTAAAACACTACACAACATGGGTGATCCTGGAAGACATTATCCTGAGTGAAATACTTCAGTCATGAAAGGACAAATACTCCATAACACTGAACCTATTAAATAGGACTGAAGTAGGGGGTTGGGGGAGAATAGGAAAAAACTGGCTAGATAATGAACACTGCATTGGAACAGATGAGGGGAAGGACTGTCCAAAAGGAATATATGCTTATGCATTATATGTATGACAATTAACAATCCGGAACAAGAGGTGTGTTGCACGTGGACTTTGGAGGAAGAAGGGAGGAGGCAAGAAGAAAATGTGCAACAATAAATGAATGAATGAAAACTCAACCTCTGTAAATATTTATTAAAATTACAATTTTTTTTAAAAAGTGAATATGGTAAACATGGCTGGCACAGCTCCTGACCTCTGGGGACAGTGTGCAATGGGTATTAATCCATGCTCTCTTCCTTCTCATTATTCCAGGAGGCCAAAGATCACTAATCCAAATTCCCCAGGCCCAGCCAGATTGAAGTGCTCAGGTCACTTATGCCTTCTCTGAACTACAAAGTCTCTGCCCCACAGGAAGACATTCAAAATAAAACCGTTCAAGCAAAATGTAACCAAGTCTACGGGTCCGATTCAGAGGTGCAAAGCTGCCTACCACCCTTTCCTATAGCCCACACACCTGCCAATTTGTGTCTAACCTGAAGGCCCACAGAGAGGCCCTCCTTCCAATGGAGCCCTGCAGCTGGCCACATGACTAGATGGTAAACAAGCCGAGGTGGGGACCTGTTTTATCCCAGGCAATCACAGGCAGTGCTGAGCCCAACCTGGTTAGTGACCACAGTGAATGTAGAAGGCCACCTTCCCTGCTTCACCCGCCTGCCCCCTTTTTATTTTTTTTTTTCATTTTACACTGGTTTACTTACAAAGTTTACAAAATTCACATACATTGTTTTTCACACTAGATCCTTACCCTTTCCTTTAACCACCCCTCTCTCTATCCATCAAATTGTGTGAAACTATGATTAAGCGCCCCCTCCCTTGTACTCATTCTTCATAAAGGTCTTGTATGTTATTTGTCTTTATGAGACTGAATTAGTTCACTCCGCATAATGCTCTCCAGTCCCTCCCATGTTAGGGAGTAATTTACAAAATCATTGCTCCTTAGTGCTGTGTAATATTCCATTGTGTGAACGTACCATAACTACTCCTGTCCCTTCTTGTCCCTTCTATTAGGACTGCAGAGCCCTTTCCTTCCTCTCTCAGAAAGAATCCAGTCACAGGAAACAGCAGCTGTGCTTTTTCTCTGTCAAGGATGTGAAACTACCCTAACCCTCTTTTCCCAGGAATAGTTATCTGAGACCCCAGCCCTCTTCCCTGTCTTGTAGGAAGCATCTGTGAGCATACCCTTCCCCAAGTTCTTTATAAGAGAATATAAAAGCCCCCTCTAACTTTTAGTTGAGGCTGGTCTTTTGCTTGAGAGCCAGCCCAGTAGTTCTTCCTCAAGAAACTTTCTTGGCCTGAACTGGGTTCTGTCCTTCCTCAGCGACCTTACACCTTCTTTTCCTCTTCCCTCCTCCAGGCTCCTCACCTTCAGAGTCATTGGCTGGAATGGCCTTCAAGACCAGCCCAGTGGCTCGCAGAGAAACTGTGACCTCTCGTGTCCGGTGGCTGAGCAGGGCCTGGGGAAAGGGGCACAGGGACAGACGGGGTACTTAGCACTATGCCCCAGACATCCTCACAGCATCATCAGTATGCATCTCTTGTCCTTGCTTCCTGTCTTGCCCTGTGAGTCTTGTCTGTGTCCCTCAAGTCCACTAAGAGTTCAGCCAATACAGACTTAGAGTGGTCCTGGCCTCTTCATCCTTCCTGATCACAGCACTAAGTCTCCAGGAAAAGCACAGGCATCTGGACATCTAGTGAGATTTTGAGTGAGGGGCTATCTCTATTGATCCTTAATTCAGAAAACTTTCTTGCCTGTGCATAAGAACATCCCTTTCCCATCTATCTAACCCAGTGAAATGCTTCAGACAAGGAGGTGCCTCAAGAACAGGGCACGGCATAGCTTTGGCTCAGTTTCCCCCTGTTTCCACTCACAGCCTGTGCTGTCCACACCCATGCACAGGACCAACACTGACCTTCTGGTAGCAGATGGAGAGCTCGGCCCCTTGGCCCTCTGCCACACCTCGCTTCTTGGAGAGAAAACCATCTGCAGGAAGTTGGAAAAACAAACTCATTGCCATCAAGTTCTTTGCACCTCACAGGCCCTCACACGTGTGAGAGCAGAACTGTGCACCATGGGCTTCCTAGGCCTCTCTTGCCAGGCCTTTCTCCCTTGGTACTGCAACAGTCAGCCTTAGAGACGAGTGGCAAGAAACAGCACTGCAATCCTGAAGGCACATAGTTCAAATCCACCAGCTGCTCTGCAGGAGAAGGATGGGCAACCTCCTCTGGTGCGATTAACTGCCTCTGAAAACCCACTAAAGGGTTTGGGTTGGTTCCGACATGACAGCACACAATAGCAACAACAAGCTGAGCCTTAACAGGTGAATAAGAGTACACTAATCCTGGGAGGACATCAACTGCTCCACGGGGAGAAGGATAGGCAGTTTCCTCCCGTGTGATTTACTGCCTCAGAAAATCTGCTGGAGGATCAGCTATGGGTCAGTTCCGACTCAGCAGTACACAACAACAATCAACAACAGCCAGACATGCTAACCATTTGGGCCACCTAGGGAGAGGCTTGAGGCCCCACCTCTTGTATCCTGGCCTGGCCACCTCCCTGAGGGCTGCAGCTGAGCAGCGATTTGTCATGTTCTGTCTTCCCGGACAGAAGTCAGCACCTGCTTGCTTTCTGCCTAGGAGAGTCTAGGCAGCACACAAGGCCGCCCACGTATACAGCAGCGTGTAAAGTTAAGCAAGGGAGCCTATTGTCAGGCCAGCCATGGTAGCGGCAGTTGTTTGGTGTTGAGCAGGTTTCCCACTCTTTGCGACCCTGTGAACAACACATCTGACCTCATAGTGACCCTGTGAAACAGATCTTACCTCATAGCGACCCTGTGAACAACAGATCTGACCCTTGTCCCACAGTTGAGGTGTGTAAGAACTTTCTGCTATTGGCAGAAGCTAAGTCCAAGTGAGCTTTGAACACGGAAACCAGGTGCTCACCTTTGGGGAATCTGGAGTCCTGAACCTTCACCTTCAGCTCCGTGAGGAAAACGTCCTCAGCAGGGTCCTGGCTGCCATCGCTGAAGAAGATCTAGGGAGAAGGGAGAGGGGGCTTTGGAAGTGGACTCCTTAGGCCACAGGAAACTGGGGTCATCAAGAATGTAGAGGCAGCAAGAGTGTTCCACACCCATCCTAGATTCCCAGGTGAGTAAACTAATTGCATATAAACTTATATTACATATAAGTGCAATATAAGCAAGAGAATGAACTAATAACGAAGTGTCCACTACTGGTAGCCACTTCTGTGTAATGGATGTGTTGGGGTGGTGATGGCAGGTGAGCCAGGGATAAAATTCTTATAAGGTAGGAAGCAAGTGAAGTGTCTCACAGGCACTGGCAGGGGAGGAAAACATGGGGAGTAAGAGAAGAACCTAAACCAGCTGTAGTGTGCACCCAGGAGCCAGGAAGGGCAGGGCTGGTGAGAGGGGATCTGTCTTTGGAACAAGCCTGTGGAGATTGGGTGGGGTGTACTCAGAGGAGCCGAGAGGTGGTGCTGAGAAAGGGCAAAGCTATGTCAGAACATGACATAGCTGCCAAGGGATTTTTGAGGACACAGCTGCAAGAAATAGAAAAGTAGCCGTGAAAGCCAGGAGCTGGCCTGGGACTGACCTCTTGGCCTTGGCTTTCTACTGACCATTATCCATTTCATAGAAGGCCCAGCAGACAAGACCTCTCTGTGAAGAGGACAGATGAAGGCAATACCCAGACTGCTCTATAATCCTGCTTAGACAGAAATATTCACCTCGTGCAAATCTCCTCCTCCACCAGCCCTCCTAACCTGCAGCCATGAGTGCCTGCCGCTTCCTAATCCCTCATAGCTCCAGGCCCTCTTGTAAGGGCTCTTGAACTCTCCTGCCATCAGATTACACTCACTGCCTGAGAGCATCAATGCAGAGCAGAGTTCTGCTTTCTTAAACCTTCTACCAAATCACATGTGATCCCCTATCCTATATTAAATCCTTTCAAGAATCCTTGCTGTTGAGGATATACACAGCAAACCATACAAAAATTAAACAGTATCTCCACAAACCATTTCATGGCATTAATTATATTCTTCAAATTATGTTATCATCCTCACCCCTCTTTTCTAAGTTGTTCCTCTTCTACTAACATAAATGTACAGCTCCGTAAAGGAGTTGAGCTGCCATTCCAAAGGCAGACTGTTCAAATACACCAGCTACTCCTCGGGAGAAAGATGGACAATCAAACTACCCCCACAGAATTTACTGCCTCTGAAAACCCGTTGGACAATCAGCTATGGCTTGGTTCAGACTTGAGTAGATGTAACAACGACTATGACAAGGTTCCTATACTGTATTTTGGGAATCTTGTCAGGAGAGGCCAGTCCTTGGAAAAAGACATCATGCTGGGAAAGGTTGAGAGTTAGAAAAAGAGAGAATGACTCTCATCAAGATGGATTGAAGGAGGAGCTTGAGTGTATCAGAGAGGGTGAGGATCGTGCAAGACTGGGCAACGTTCAGCTCTATTGTTTATAGGGTCACTATGGGTTGTAGTTGACTTGAAAGCACCCAACAACCAACAACAACAACTGTTTCTATCTAATCTTCCAAGTTGCTATGTCAATTTGATCCAATATGCATAGTTTTAAAGAGAGTTCAATGCAGACTTCTTTAACTAGTTGAGCTAAGCTATCATTTGATTTTAAGAAGGTCTCAGGAGATATTTTTTAAATCTTTATTTTTTAACTTTCAATTTTAAATATAGTACCAGAGGGTTATCTACTGTTCATGGTTCAAGGAAGTCTGGAGACGTCCCCTCTCAAGCCTGTTGTGCTTACTCTCTGTAGGAAGATGGGTGGACACTGTGTCTTCTAGATAAGTAATTTTCTTTATTTTGGGTTATAAAGAGAGAATGAAAGGGAGGAACAAGGAGAGGGAATGACTAAAGGGGACAGGGTCAGGAAGAGGTTGTAGCAGACAGGACAAGGACACAGAGGGAGGGTCTACTAGAGAAGAGACTGTGGAGATGAGAATGGGTGTAGATGAATGCATTGGCATGCATGGGAAACTAACAACTCCAGATATTTTATGTGGAAAGGCCATTTGAGGAAAGTGAGGGCTTGAGGAAGTTGGTGAAGTTGGGACAACTGTTGTTTCAGGGGTAGAAGGAGTTTGTCAAGCAAGAATTGTGGACCCTGCTGAAGCTGGACACATCAAGTCCAACCAGACTCTTTATTTCCCAGGTGATGCTCAAAAGCCCAGGCTTCTCAATAGGTAGGGCACACTGGAGTACAATCTGAGGTTGAGTTTTACTGAGACGGGAGGGAGAGGGAAGCGACACAGATGGACACGAAGGATGAGGTGAGAGAGTGGTTCAGATGAGAATCTGCCTGGAAGAAAGGCTCAGGGGGTGATGTATGATGAGAAAAATGAAAGCTCTGTCTAAGAAGTTGAAGAGATGTGTGGTGGAAGAGCATAGAAGGAACAGGAGGTTATGAACAGAGACAAGATGAAGCAATTCCATGTCAACTGATTCCTGATTTCCAATCCTTTACATGGGATCAAGGGCTAAGCAGAATCTTCCACATAAAGATCTTATTCTCGCATTTGAGGTCTTAGAATGTAATGTTTGTCTGGTTCTTCCACAGATTAAGAATATCACAACCAAGAGTGTTGGGGAAAGTTTGCTCAGAACCAAGGCATTTCGGTTGCAGGGTATCTGGATCCAGCTGTCAGTATGGAGCCACGAGGGAAGCTTACCTTGACTTTATAGATCTGGAAATATATGGGTTGAGTGCCCATTCGAACATAGTAGGTGATGACATCTAGGATGAAGGGGTCCACAGTCCGAGATGTATCAAAAGAGGGGGGCTGTGGGTGAGGCAGAGAATATCTCAGTCACCTCAGAGTAAGTGAGAGGCATCATTTTCTTAATAGAGAAGCTCCAAAGCCCCCACTTAACCTCTGTGATACACTAACACACGTGGTCCTTCCATACACTTCAAGCTGTTTCAACCACAGCTTCTAATCCTCATTAAAATGTACTTGTCTAGTACATTCACGCCATGGAATATCACACAACACTGAAAAACAATGAATTTGTAAAATACTACACAACGTGATGAGTATGGATGACATTCTACCGAGTAAAACATCTGTCACAAAAGGACACATACTACATTAGATCGCTATTCTAAAAATAGGATGGACACAGGAGCAGCAGGTAGAACAGGAAAAGAGTGGACAGATAATGAAAGAGGTGAAGGGAAGGATAGTCTGAAAGGAAAGGATGATTAGATATTAAATATATGACAATTAATCTGGAACATGCATAGCAAAGTGACCTGGGAGAAAGAGAGGGAGGTAAACGTGTATCAAGGAGTGAGTGAAAACTCAACCTTTCTGTACACTTTCACTAAAATCACGATTTAAAAAAATATACTTATCTAAAGGCTCAATCTTCTCAAGAAGTCCAATTTAATTCCACAAATCCTGAACACCTGCACATGTGAGACACTCTGCTAGGTGCTTGGAGGAGAAGAGATGCTTGAAAGTATAATCAGCAAGGAAAGACGTTGACTGGGCTAGGTTCTAGACTCAGTGACCTTGAACAAACTACTCGACTTTTGAAAGCCTGTGTTTTCTTCTAAGGAAAATGAGAGGTTGAGCCAGATGGTATGACAACTCTTTCAGTTCTGGTGGTATTAGAATCTATTAATAAACTAATTAATGTTTGCATGTTATCAGGAAAAGACTGGTACCATGTCTACTAGGTCTTCCCCAACTCCATATGGTTATCAAGAATAACAGGGCATCTAAATAGAATCTTATAAGAGTTGAAAAGAAGTTTTGAGTTTATCTCATCTAATTCATGTCCAGTCCAATAAAAGCCCCTCTGACCCTCATATGACCAACTGAAATATTGTTCCCTTCAAAAAGGTCATGCTGACATTAGTTATGCTAAGAATGTTGTCATCATTCAAATGCTTCAAATCTTTTCTTGTGGAAACTGTTTTTGGAGTAAGTTTTAGGCCACATAAATGATTGATTACAAAGGGAAGGAGAGGCAATAAAGTAAAAATCCTACACACAACCTGGCTGGGGAAAATGGCTCCAACATAGAAGCGCAAATGAGGTTGGTATTCAACGTTCTTCGTACAACAGCTTCCAGGGTCTGAGGAGAACTATTTTAATATCCAGCCCAGATATCTGTCATGTTTATACAGACACATTTTCAGGTAGCCAAGTCAGTTAATATGCTAATACCTTCATCTGAACAGAAAATATAAGAAGACATCCACTAAGCAACCAATAAAGTAAATTAAGAGCTTAGTAAGATATGAAAGAAGTGACATTGCAATCCCAAAGGCATATGGTTCTTCGAATTCACCACTTGTTACTTGGGAAAAGCATAAACAATCTCCTCCTGTGAGATTTATTGCCTCTGAAAACTCGCTGGAGGTTCAGCTATGAGTTTATTTTGACTCCATAGTCCACAACAACAACAACAACGAATACAAAAGAGAAAAGATATCATTCACAAGAGTAACAAGGGAAAATCAGACATAAAATCCAATTTACAAAGAAATGCAGCAAAGCATATGATGGAAAGTGTACAGCTGTCCTAAGGGATATATATACAAAGACTTTAATAAATGAAAAGTTATACCATGCTCCCAGGGGTTACTTAATATGCTAAAAACTCTAATTTCCAGAAGCCAATCTAAATTCCAATGGTATTACCCTACTAATATAGACTCAATTCTGGCTTCTGAGCAACCTCTGGGCTTCTGAGGCTGCATATCTTTACAGGAGGAAATTGCCCATCTCCTGCTTGGCAGCGGGTGGATTTGATCCGCTGACTTTTTGGTTACCAGCCAATACATTATGCAATCTGCCTCTGTTGTTATGTGCTGTTGAGTTGGAAAAGACTCATAGCTGACCCCAAAGTGGGATTTCTGAGATTGTAAATGATACAGGAGGAAGCTGCCCATCTTTCTCCTACAGAACATATAGTGGACTCAAACCACATACCTTTGTGTTGGCAGAGCAATTCCTTACCGTTGGACCACCAGAGCTACAGTATGCCACTAGCTCTCCTCATGTGAGTAAACAACTATGAAAAGAAAATTCCCCAACTTGTGAAGGACATACTAGAGCTTGTTTCAAAAGATAAACAAGTGTCTCTTGGAAAGTCTTGATAAATGGATGAAATGAAAACATAAATGCATTCATTTGTACAGGAATTAACTGATCAATGAAAAAAGTAAAAATTTAGAATCAAGCACATATAAGAATTTATTAAATTTTAAAAGTGACATTTCAAATTGATGGGACAGGATGGCTTATGCAATAAATAGCATGAGGACAACTGGCTAAACATTTGGAAAACCTAAAATTATACCCTAAACACAATTTAATAGCTAAAAGCAAAACCAACAACTCATCGCCGCTGAGTGAGAACTGACTCACAGATGACCCACAAGGAGGTTTTCAGAAATCATAAATTGCAGGGGAGAAGACTGCAGATCTTGATCCCAAGGAACAGCTGGTAGATTTCAACTGCTTGCCTTTGGGGTGGCAGCACAACTCTTTACCTGCTCAACCACCAGAGCACTATTTAATAGCAAGTGGTTTAATTATTTAAATGTAAAAATGGAAACAATAGCTGCACTGCAATCCCAGAGGTACATGGTTCAAATCCCCCAGATGCTCTGCTGGAGAAGGAGGGGCAAACTCCTCCTGTACCAGTCAGATCCGATTTGATGGTACACACAAAAAAATAGTAAAATAAAAAATTTTAAAAGTGGAAACAATAAAAGTGTGAGACTATAATGCCAGTGAATATTTTGCTAAAACTGAAGAGGACCTCATGCACTTGCTGCAGAGGGTCAGTGACTGCAGCCTTCAGTATGAATTGAGGCTCAATGTCAAGAAGACAAAGATTCTCACCACTGGACCAATTGGTAGCATCAGGATGGATGGTGAAGAGATTGAGATTGTTCACAGCTTCAGTTTGCTCGGTTCCACGGTCAACACTCTTGGCACCAGTAGCCAGGAAATAAAAAAACGTATTGCAATGGGAAAGTCTGCTGTTAGGGACCTCACTAAAGTACTCAAGAGCAACGGTGTCTCTCTGGAGACTAAGGTGTGCCTGATACAGGCCATGGTCTTTGCAATCACTTGTTATGCATCAGAGAGTTGAACAATGACTAGGGAAGACAGAAGGAGAAATTGTATCTTTGAGCTGTGATGCTGGAGAAGAGTATTGAATGTACCATGGACTTCCAAGAAAACAAACAGATTCATCCTGGAGAGGGTTAAACCAGGCTACTCCTTGGAGGCAAGGATTCTGGGGCTTTGTCTGACATACTTTGGACATGTTATCAGGAGGGACAGGTCCTTGGAGAGGGACATTATGCTTGGGAGGGTGGAGGGACAGCGCAGGAGGGGAAGACCCTCTATGAGGTGGATTGATTCGGTGATTGGGGTAATCAGGATGGGTGTGTCAGAGGCAGTGTGATTGGCACAGGATAGAGCAGAGTTTAGGGCTGTTGTACATAGGGTCGCTATGAGTCACAAAAGACTCGACAGCACATAACAACAACGTGGAAAAGGCCTTTGAAAGGTGGAAACCATCAGGAATAGAAGAGTGCTAATAGGAATGCGTGTTTCAAAATCAGGTAAAGAGTGCATCAGGGATTCATCCTGTCCCCATACCTTTTCAATCTCTATGCAGAACACAGATCATTAGGTAAGCAGGGCTTTGTGAGGAGAAATGTGGCATCAAGATTGGAGGAAGACTCATCAACAACCTACGATATGCAGATGACACAACCTTGATTGTTGAAACTGAAGAAGACCTGAAGCACTGGCAGCAGAAGGTCAAGACAATAGTCTTCAATATGGATTGAAGCTCAACATCAAGAAGACAAAGATTCTCACCACTGGGCCAATTGGCAGAACCATGATAGATGGAGAAAAGATTGAGGTTGTTAACAATTACAGCTTGCTTAGCTCCACAATCAACACTCTTAACACCAGCAGTCAAGAAACCAAAAGATGAATTGCATTGGGAAAATCTGTTGTCCTGAACCTCTTCAGAGTGCTGAAAAGCAATGGTTTCAGTCTAGAGATTAAGGTGCACCTAATCCAGGCCATAGTTTTCTCAATTACTTCTTATGTTTCAGAGAGCTGCACAATGACTAAGGATGACAGAAGAAGAATCTATGCCTTCGAGTTGTGGTGCTAGAGAAGAGTCTTGAACATACCATGGACCTTCAAGAAAACAATAAGTCTGTCTTGGAGAGGGTGAAACCAAGTTTCTCCTTGGAGGCAAGGATTTGGAAGCTCCGTCTCACTTACTTTGGGCACGTGGCCAGGAGGGACCAATTCTTGGAAAAGACATCATGCTCAGAAGGGCAAAGGGACAGCACAAGAAAGGAAGACCCCGGATGAGATGGAATGATAAAGTAACTGGGGCAATGGCAGTTGGTGTGTCAGAATCAGTGAGACTGGCTCAGGACAGGGAAAGGTTCAGTGCTGCTGTACATAGGGTTGCTATGGGTTGCAGGCAACTCGACAGTACATAACATAACAACAATCAGAATAAATTAGAAGGCACCTAAAAACACCAATAACAGATTAGACTAAATAAAAATATTAAAGTATTAGAAATATTACAATTTAAAAAGACATTATTGACAAAACTGAAAAGCAAACGACAAAGTGGAAAAACATCAGCAAGAAATGTGGCAGCACAAAGGGTAAGATTTTTCTTAACACATAAAGGCCCTTTTCAAATCAGGCGAGGAGAAGCTTATTCCTCGTCTAATTGCTGGCGATTTGGGGTGGTTACTATGGCTTGTGGTTACAAGAATGCCCTGCTGACATGAAATACTTAGCGTGGACAAACGCTTAGATGTAAAGATTTTTTAGCAGCTGCTGCGATCCGCCAACTGGAGGGCCCTTAATGAGGCCTGGAGTGCGAGGACATGGACAGTTAGTTACTGCTGCGGCCCCTGAGTTTCTAGGAAGCTCCAGTCCACAGTGACCTCATGTGGTCGACAGTAAGGAAAGGCATGGGTCAGGGCTGGATCTTTTCACCATACTTGTTTATTCTGTGTGGCGAGCAGAGGTGGAGGGTTAGAGAAAGAGAAAAAGACTCTCAACAAGATAGATTGACACTGGCTGTAAAAATGGGCTGGAGCATATTAGAGAATGTGAGAAGGAAGCAGGACAGATCTCCTGTTCTGAGCCATAATGGACTCAATGGCACCTCACAACAATGCAGGAGAAAGATCAGGATTGGAGAAAGACTAAAAATATGCAGAGAATGCAAACTTGCTTGTTAAAAACAAAGTCTTAAAGCAGAGAGAGAGAGAGAGAGAGAGAGAGAGAGAGAGAGAGAGA